CAGACTAAATTTCGCAAATGAAATGTTGAACCGCTTTACTTCGTTTAATAACGTGTTATTCTCTGATGAGGCTCACTTTCACATCAACGGCCATGTCAATAAGCAAAATTGTCGCTACTGGAGTTGCGAAAATCCAAATCGCAAACATCAAAAGCCCTTACATAGCCCTAAAGTGACAGTTTGGGCGGCTATGTCAGCGTATGGCATTATAGGCCCTTACTTTTTTGAGGACGGCAGAGGCCGCGCGCTTACTGTTACTTCACAACGGTATGTAGCTATGATCCAGGACTTTTTTACACCAGAGTTCCAGAATTTTCCAGGCTTCAATACGCGGACCTGGTTTCAACAAGATGGAGCAACTGCCCATACCTCTAACGTCGCTATGCCGGTCGTCCGTCAACTTTTCCCTAATAAAGTGATCTCTCGAAGAGGAGATATTCCTTGGCCACCACGTAGTCCAGATCTGACCCCAATGGACTTTTTCTTATGGGGTTATCTTAAGACTAAAGTGTACGAAACCAAAAAATAATTCCCATTTTATAAGGATTATGACAAAATAAAAACCTTTTTCATAATGTCATTAGTTTTTTTTTAATTATTTTTTTACATTTCAAGGGACTTATGGGCCACCCTGTATAAATGTTTTTGTCTTATTTATGTATCACTATTTGTTTTTCTCTTGTCCCGCACATCACTCCCGCCGTGCGACCGCGTCGCATCAGCTTCCGGTGCGGGCTCGACGTCCGTAGATAGAGGCAGGATCACAAGCTTCCTTACTGGCCGGCGTAGGACACCTCCCTTAGTTAGCACGTCCACAGTCCGCACGACGTTGTCGGGACCCGGATATGTAGCGATGACTCTTCCTCGTATCCACACGTTGCGAGGCAGGTTGGGATCGACGATCTGTACGAGGTCGTCGACGCGTGCTGCTTGGCCTCGTCCGTGGGGCTCCCGCCGGTGTTGAAGCTCAGGGAGGTACTCCTTCACCCAGCGTAACCAGAAGGTGTCGGCTAGCCTCTGCGCAGCTCGCCAACTTGACCGTGAGAGGGCGTCTCGTTCGGTGAAAGTGCCTAGCTGTGGTACTCGTCCCGGTCCTCCCAACAAGAAGTGGTTAGGAGTGAGAGCTTCGGGATCCTCTGGACTGACTGAGACGTGAGTCAGCGGTCGGCTGTTGACGGTGTATTCCACTTCTACCAGTAGTGTTGTGAGGACTTCCTCCGTCGGATGACGTTCGTGCAACGTCGCGATAAGAGCGGTCTTGACGGAGCGAACCATTCGCTCCCAGGCTCCGCCCATAAATGGAGCTCCAGGCGGGATGTAGCGCCAGGAGATAGTCCTTTTTGCTGCTTCTTCTGCGGTCGCTGCGTCGACCGCCTGTCGTAGTTCCTTATCGGCTGCCTTCAGGTTGGTGCCGTTGTCTGACCATATTTCTGTCGGGCAGCCTCGCCGTGCGATCATCCGCCTTATGGCCATTACCGCGGAGTCAGCGCTAAGTGAGCCGGCAACTTCTAGATGTATGGCTCGCGTAGTGAGACATGTAAAAATGGCTACATATCTCTTTTGTCGAGTTCGTCCGACGGTCACCGAAAGAGGTCCGAAATAGTCCACCCCGGTGTAGGTGAAGGGGCGCTTGTGGTGAGCTAAGCGACACGTTGGCAGGTCCCCGGTTCTCGGATGCGGCGGTACTTGCGTCTTCATTCTGCAGAATAGGCATTTTCGTAGTATTGTGCGTACGATAGGGCGCAGTCTCAGTACCCAATACTGCTGCCGGCACTCGTTGACTGTGGCTTCTACACCGGCGTGATGGAGTTGCCGATGTATAGCCTGCACCCAGAGCTTGACTGTGTGATGATCACCGTCAACTATCAACGGGTTCTTGAATTTTTCCTCCATGTCGCAGACTGCTCGAATACGACTTCTAGGTCGTAGTGTGCCGTTTATTGACTCGACGCTGAGCTGGCGAAGGCGGCTCTCCTTATTGATCGGCTTCCCGCTGTTTAGGCTGTCTATTTCTTCCGCAAAGGATTCTTCTTGGGAGGATCGCATCAGAAGCTCTTCAGCTGTCTTAAGCAGCTCGGCTGAGACCATTAGCGGCTTTATGTCTTCTGGCGACCGCTTCTTTGTCGTCATGTGCGCCTGATATTTCACTGTAGCTTTGTTCTTTTTCCAAGTGGGATCAGCCTCTTTATTCTTCTTTGTTCGTTTGTAGTTGACTCTCTGTTTGGTGTTTCTGCAGAGTTGAATGAACTGTAGAACACGTGCGGTTGAGTATCGGAGTCGGTCCCAGTTGGAGAACTTCGCTGGATCAGGTAGACCTTCGGCAAGCCTCAATCTTCTTTTGTTGCTCACGTAATGTGTCCTTTCTTCGTCGGAAGGTTCTTCCGCTGTTGCTCTTGTGGTTTCTGTCGGCCAGAAGTCTTCTGTTAGGTATAAGAAGTCAGGCCCTTTGAACCATCGATGTTCTTTATTAAATGCTGCTGGTACGTCTCGTGTGGCGTCGTCCGCCACGTTCAGCTTTGTCGGAACCCAGCGCCAGTCGTTAACTTTGGAACTCTCTTCTATTGCTGCTAGACGGTGAGCCACGTAGGGCTTATATGAACGTGACCCTGTCCTTATCCAGGTTAGTACTGTCTTGCTGTCTGTCCAGAATACTTTGCGGTCAGGTTTCCTCTCGTGTTCTTCGACTACTGTTTCTGCGAGCCTGGTGCCCATGACTGCTGCCTGTAGCTCCAATCTTGGGATGGACGTCAGTTTTAACGGTGCCACCTTTGCTTTCGCCACAATAAGGGATAGGTGGGCCTCGCCTACTGCTGTTACAGCTCTCCAAAAGAGGACCGCAGAATAAGCTGACTCGCTGGCATCGCTGAAGACGTGGAGTTCTAGGGAGGCCGCGTCACTGTAGTGAAGATATTGTCGCGGGATTGCTATTTCGTGGACGCCTTCCAGATGCTCCATCCACATTTTCCACTGCTCTGCCAGGTCTTCGTCGATCTTGTCGTCCCATGCTGTTCCTCTACGCCAGACTTCCTGGAGGAGTTGTTTTGCCCTGATGGTGATAGGCGAGGCGAATCCGAGCGGGTCGAAGAGCGACATCACTATTCTCAGTGCTTCCCTTTTCGTCGGCTGCTTCCCTTCTAGGAGTGTTGAGGGTATTCTGGCTAAGTTGAGGTTGAAGGTGAGTTTGTCCGAGTGGATCTTCCAAACAACACCCAGAACTCGTTCCATCTTTTCTTCTGTTTTGTAGAGTTCCATGTCTTCTGTCTGGCTGTCTTCTCCAAGTGTTTCTAGGAGTGATGCTGAGTTTGATTTCCACTGTTTCAACTCGAAGCTGGCTTTCATGTGCACGGCTCGTACACTCTTCGTGATGCGTTTGGCATCTTCGAGGGTTCTGAAGCTGTCCAAGTAGTCGTCGACGTAATGCTTCATTATGATGGCCGCTGCGGCTTCTGGGTGAGTTTCCCCGTGCTGTTTGGCGTTTAGGTTCTTGACGTATATTGCTGTCGAAGGCGAACTCGATGCTCCGAAAATTAATGATGTCATTCTGTACTCTTCCGGAGGTTGGTTGTCTCGTCGATCCCCACGCCATAGGTACCGCAGTGCGTCCCTGTCTTGTTCTCGCAACTTGACTTGCATGAACATCTCTTTGATGTCCGCCGTAACCGCGATCATGTGTTGTCGGAAGCGCATGACGACACCTGGTAGCGATTGTAGTAGGTCGGGCCCTTTGAGTAGCATGTCATTAAGTGCCACCCCTTTGGTTTTGGCTGCGGCATCATGTACCACCCGTAATTTCTCCGGTTTCATTGGGTTGACTACTGCAAAGTGAGGTAGGTACCAAGTTTTGTCAGCTGTCTTCTGTTTTGGGGCGGGTTCGGCGTACCCCTTTGCGACGAGAGCGTTCATTTGTTCCACGTATTTCTTCTTTAACGTGGGGTTACGATCGATCTTCTTTTCTATGTTGAAGAGCCTCTTCAGCGAGTTTTCGTAATTGTCTGGTAACTTGACATCGTCTTTGCGCCAGAGAAGACCGGTCTGGAATCTTCCTTCTTCTGTCTTCGTTGTGGTCCTTTCCAAGATACGAAGTGCTTGTTCTTCTGGATCAGTCTTCGGTCTCTTGGGCTTTATACAGAGTGCGTCCATCTCGAAGTATCGCTTCACGAGGTCTTCTAGATTCTCCTCTGGATCTTCTACGATGTGTGACACGAAATCGATGTTCCGTCCGAAGCTTCGTGTCTGGCTGCCGTGGAGTACCCAACCTAGTGGCGTGAGAGATGCCACTGGGTGGTTCTTGTCTCCTTTTCTTACTTCCGATGTCAGCAGAAGATGCCAGTTATCTTGTCCGATCAGCACTCGTGGCTTGGCGTTTGCATATGTGAGATGTCCTTGGATATCAGAGAGGTGTTGACACTCCTCCACTAGATCCTGTGGGACCCGTTGAGATGAGACTTGCAGGTTCTTCACTGTGCGTGCTTGTATTTGTTCTTCATGATCGTTGAGCCCCTTTAGTTTGATGGTGACTCTCCTCGATGCTGACTCCGATACTTTCATGTCGTTGATGGTTTCTATCTTCAGTGGGTCTATGGGGCCCGTTGCTCCGACGCTTGTTACTATACTATCGTCGACGAGCGTGACTGTTGAGCCGTCGTCCATCAACGCGAATGTGTTGACAGCTCCTTTTGGTCCTTTGACCTGGATCGGTAGGATTTTTAAATATGATTGCTTCTTGACGGTCCAGGTTGAGTTGATGACCTCTGTTGCCCCTTGATTTTCTTTTGCTTCTGAATCTTCTGACTTCTTTTCGTAATGCAGCATCTTGTGGTGAGAGTACTTGCAGCTGTTGACATTACATGGCTTGGGTCGGCAGTGGTGTGTCTTGTTCCTATAGCGAAGACACCTGAAGCAGAGGCGCTTGGACTTGGCCATGTCCCATTTGCATTTGCATCTAACTTCTTGAATTGTTCACATTCTGTGGCGTTGGTGTGCCCCGTATCTTCACATACGACGCATCTTGGTATGTATGTCTTCTCAGTCACGTTGTTGATCCTTTGAGTCTTCCTTTGTGGTGCGGCTGTAATAGGCGGTGTCATCTGTTCGGGCAGCGCGTAGGGTCCACACAGTTCTGCTTCCCTTTTGAAGAACTTCTCTATCTTGATGAGGCAAGGGTCTTCACGTGGCTGCATGGCTGAGAAGTCGTAGTACCTATAACGCAGAGTTGGCGTCAGTTTGTCTACTATTGTCTTCGCGAGTTCAGGATTGTACATGTAGTTAAAACAACCCAAAGTCTTCAGTGTCGCCACTACGTTGGAGATCTTGGTGGCGAATATGCATATGTCTCTTGGTGACTCAGTAAGGCGCGGCAGACCTCTAAGCGTCTCCATCTCCAGCATGGCTATTGACTCTGGTCTTCCAAATCTTGACTCCAAAGTCTTCATTACTTCAGCCGGGTGTGCGTTGGTCATAAGTAGGCCTTCAACTGCTTCCTTGGCCTTCCCTTTCAAGTTTCTTCTGAGTCGATTCGTATTTTCAACTACGCTGAATGTCGCTTCTGTCTCGTAGTAGGCGGCGCGAAAGGGTAGCCATTCCTGATGAGACCCGCTGAAGAATGGTAACTCGACGAACTTAGGTCGTTGGGCGGCGCTGACAGCCCGAGTGATGGCTTCAGCCAGGAGGGCTACGTCAGTTTGACCTCCCGCCGGTGACTGATGTGTTTCTTCGTGCCTTGGTTCTTCTGCGTGGGCGGCTGTTGATTCTTCTATGGCATGGTGAGGTTCGTTGGTGATTGCTAACACCGGGCGATTCACTTGATTCTCCAACCAGTCGTCCACTCTTGTATTGACTTCTGATCTTGAGTAGAGGGATGCGTCATCTTCTTCTTCCTCCTCCTCTTCTGAGTCTTCCCTTTCTAAGGCAGCAAGGCGTGCTGCGGCTAATTCTACTTGAAGGCGTAGTAAATCTTCTTTCGCCTTTGCAAGCTTGAGCTGCTTCGTTCTACTGCGTGTAGATCCCCCTCCACCTCCCTTCTTGCTGGGCGGGCGGGGTTCCTGTAGCCCGGTTTGCTTTGATGGACCGGCGGTGCTTCTTATGGCTCGCTTCACTGTAGAAGTTTCTGTTTCTCGGTGAGTTGCTCTGGTGACAGTAGCGGGCGGCTTCATCAGCTGTTTGGCCTTCGCACCCGCAGTTAGTGTCGTCGCCGCGGATGGTGTTACGGAAGGAGCGACGGCGCTGGCGGGGTGCGTGGCGGGGGCGGCGGTTGCGGCTGAGGCTGAGGCTGAGGTGGCGGCGGACGAAGTGGTCGCTGCGGTGGCGGAAGTCACGGTGGATGGATCAGTCGCCGCGGAGGTGTCTGTATACTCCGAAGTCTCCGTGGCGGTCGTCCCTGTAGCTGTTGATTCCGTACTGGCTTCCGCACTGGTGGTACCGGTCGCCGAGGTGGTAGCCTTGGACGACGACGGCTTGCTGCCCCTTCCCTCAGAGCGCGTAACGGCCATGCTGTCAGCTGACTTTTTCTTCGAATAATCTTGAGTCTTGAAAAACGATTTCCGAGGAGTCTTCTTAATTATTTTTCTTCAGGTAATTATTCCCCACAATATTCGGCTGGCGAAGGACCATTAAATGTGCCCTACAGGCACATTTGTGTGCTGGATTGGTGGAGAATAAAACCGCTGCGATATTTTTCTTTCTTCTATATTTGGTGTTTTCCTTGAGGTAGCTGGCCGCCGACTGTGTCGAACGACGAAAATCGCCCCTCTTTTATACCGCCTCGGGCTGGGTCAATGGATACGGCCGACGCATCGTACAAATGGCGTCGACCAATCAGCGCGAGGCGTGACAGAGCAAGTGACGATGCTGAGTCCCGTTACATTGTTTGTCTTAAGCTAGTTCTATATCTTACTGAGTCATTGTTTACATTGTTTACCTTAAGCTAGTTCTATTATACAAAGTGACCAACTAATTTTATTACACAAATATAAGCTCTACACTATTATTTTCTTAACATAAAATGCTTATATCTTATCTAAACTATAATCTCTATTAATATAAATGTTTATCCTATCTAAGTACAAACTATCTATAATATTTTTTCCATTAATATAAATGTTTTTGTCTTATTTATGTATCACTATTTGTTTTTCTCTTGTCCCGCACATCATACTAGCGATCTGACCCGGCCTCGCACGGGTGATTTCTGGATTTCATCAATAGCGCCATCTACCGGGTCTATTGGGAATCTAAACGGTCAAATCAATTTAATCACACACACAAAATTTCGTCAAAATCGGTCCAGCCGTTTAGGTGGAGTTCAGTTACATACACACGAACATAAAAATTCTAAATATAATTATACATTAATACCTTTCTCTTAAATTATTATGTCTATTAATAAAAACCTCAACAAAATTTGTTACGTGGTTTAAAAGATCTGAGCGTACAGACGGCGGGAAGCCACATTAAAAGTTTAATTTTTTTTAACGCCACCGCACTGCTCTTTGTGGATGGAAGTTCATAAACCCCGTTCTTGGTAAATTTTAACCTGCCAAAAAGAATATTCTGGCCTAGTTTTATATACCTATTAGAGCTATAGTTTTAAAATTAGTTTTTTTTACCACAACTTGTTCTTTCTTCTTAGCTGACCTCTACTCGGTGAAAGGAATATCCTAAGTCCTGCCTTTCAAATATCTAGGCCTTACGATTCCAGGGATATCGTGATGAGTCAATACATAAGCGGAAATCTCTCACATACATTTGTGGCCTCTCTTCGGCTTCTGCGATTTGCGACCCGCGCAACGTGCTTCTCAATCGCTCTAACTCTTCCAACGCTATGCTATTGTGTGGGTTGAGGAAGAGTTTTCTTGATTTAGATCAGATATTACTACGCCAGTAACATAGTTCTCTAAAAAAGTCTAAAATATAAAGCAAAATTAAAAATTTTGAAAAAAACCCACGACGGATGTAAAAGTTGTAATCGAAAAAGGATTAAATAAACATATTGATAAACCCCCGACTAAAAGGAAGTATGGCACGAAAGATACAAAATAAAAAGAGTTTTTAAAAGGGTTGATTTACCGCGAGGTCTGTCATTATAAACAACTAATTATGTCTTTCCTTAGTCCTTCCTACCTTTGTGTACCTATTAGTTTGTTGTAGCGATAGACACAGCAATAATATAAAATATAGGTACTACACCTATTCACCTACCTATTAGGTAATATACTTATAAATCAAAATGAAACCCGTCGGGGCTTTTTATCTTTCGTGACTTACTTCCTTTTAGTCGGGGGTTTATCAATATGTTTATTTAATCCTTTTTCGATTACAACTTTTACATCCGTCGTGGGTTTTTCAAAATTTTTAATTTTGCTTTTTATATAGTTTAAAAGTTCAAAATACAAAGATACGATTTAAATAACACAACAGACTGACATATTATTTCAATTTTAGTTCCCGGTACGGACGATGAGGGCGCTTCAAATCGGCATAAGCATTTTGTATGGTATAGCCAGTCCAGCGTACTTGTATATATCGTGGTCAGTGAGTAAGGAGTGTGGGTAGGTTTTATGTAAGAAATGAACCAAGAGAATTACCTAATAAATTGTGAAATATATTTCAAATTTGATATTTGGAAATTATAAAACTGTTATTGCTTATTTTCAGTATAGGTAGGGACCGTTGCAACCGCAACCGCAGTTTCCGTCGCAACTTCCAGCAATGGAAACAACACCACCGGCTGGGACTTCACCACAGAATCTGACAGCACCAAGAATCGGTACTTGACCAGCTATAAGAGTGTTACCAGCGACACCCATCTCGCCAGCGACCGCTACGTCGCCAATGCCTGCACCTCCGTACGCGGGGCCAACAATACCAGCAGGAGCACCCAGGCCAACAGGACCACCTAGGCCGTATCCAAAACCAAGCCCAGGGCCGTAAGTGAATTCATTATTTAAAGCAGATCCACATCCGAGACTGTATTCAGCTGCGAATCCAGGAGCATAGCCCAAGCCAATTCCAGCGCCAAGACACTGGCTGTACGCATTCTGCCAATAAGAAAATCTTTCATAAACACCTTTTCTAAATACGTATTACCACATTTTGCAAGATACTTTAAAAAATGTGTCCTTAAAAATACTTTTAGAAGTTATAAAAACATGAGGGAGTACCTAGAGTACCTTACCTGGATCAAGCAAGCTTGAACGCAGAGCAACAAGAAAGCAAAAGGCGACATGTTAGGATGTGATTTCTAAGTGTGTCAAGTTTAGAGTAATTATTCAACATAAAATGAATGACTTATATATCGTAAATGTTTCAGGTGAACTTCAAATTTTGTAACCGATATTAAAACTTGCGTCAGTGTTTGTCTACGCAATTAATTTAAAAAGTTATTATTAAGTTATAGAAACTTCACGAGACACTTAAGACTTAGGAGGATTGTGAAGCTGTAAATTTTCATACAAAAAGCGACAACGTTTCCTCCATTATTATATTATCCATTATTATACATATTATTGTGCCATAAGCTGCAAGCTGCGTCTTATGGCACAACACAAGGCACAAGTTGTATGCGACAAGCGCATGGGTATAGACGATAGTCTATACCCATACCCAACTATCTTCTGTTCCGGATCCACCCCTTTTCATCGTAACATTATGATGTTCCTTTTAGAAGTATGACCTCATTATCTAGCTAAATAGCTCTTTATCTTCATTTAAACCGTTTCTACATCATAATTATATTTTTGGCTCAGAAAAATCTACGCGTCGTATCTTTTCATTTTATTTGTGTAATCTTTGTGCTTGTGGTGCCACAATACTTGATATGTTTGATAATCATCGATAAATTCTCATGTTTTAATTTTGTCTTCCGCTATTTAGTGAACATACTAAAATGCACGAAATGTTGCACGCGAACCCACCGGTGACGGACCAGCGTTCGCTAGAGGCTAGGCTAGCGCTGTTGTCGAACGAGTTTTAGCGCATGCGCTAGGGTTGCTCAGGCATGCGTTAAAGGAAGACGCAAGATGAACAGGAAAGCGCACTGGTACAGACATAGCTAATTAAGAGGAAGATGGTACACTTCAGTCCATTCCGATACCGCATCTATGTCCTGTTGAAGAGCCTGTGCATCAGCAGCACTACCAATAGACAAGCTTAATTTTAGATCATCTGCGTATAACTGACACTTCGCAGATTTCTACCGAATTGACGACGATTGTCCAAATAGATATCAAAGAGTTGAAGAAGTTTCGGAGTAAAACCCAATTTA